CTGATAAAACCACCTCTTCAGGCAGAGAATTCTGCATCTTTATTGTTTTTACTCTAAATGAACCGTTTGCTTTTCCTTAGACTAAACCTTAGACTAGGGATGTTCAGGTGTGCTTTTGGCTTGCACAGTGTTTCCAAATACACATTAATGGATAGTCAATCCTTTCTTCTTGTCTTACATTTAGGTCCATTTCTACATTAGGTCTATGTCTACATATTTTCCAGTGAATACACCTGGTTATTACGGAGTCCAATTTTTTTATTTTAAATAAAAAATTGTTTAGTTAGTAAAAATAAACATCCTTCATGATTGAGTTTTCAAAAAATGTTCTACTTTTAAATAGAAATGTATTGTGCATGCCTTTAGACTGAAGAATGAGTGATGATGGCTAGGAAGATAAGAATCACAAACTCATTCACCTGGAGAATTTCATTACAGAAACATAATTCAAAATGTAGATTTTAATTGAATATAAAGAAAACCCTTTAGTTTTACTAAATAATTCTGCTGATACAATGATCTTTATTGTAAATGCGTGTTTGGTAAAAAGAATGACTAGCCCTTTAATGAAACCTTTGTCCTTCAATTTCCTACTGCAATTAGCACCCTTAGCTTTTTATCAAAACTGCCTGTGACAGTTTTAACTCTGCATGACTACGCTAAATGAAAGTGGCAGGTGGCAGCACATTACACGGCCCCTGTCCAGGGCCTGCTGAGCACCTTCCTATTGCCAGGGAGATCAAAAATTCACAGAGCGTGCCGCGTATGGACAGAAATTATCATACAGAAACTTAGGCTGAAAAAAAAGAAAAAATCAAAATAGTCTGTGTCACTTGAGACTGTTTTGGATGCAGGAATAAAGGCACAACATTAAAAGCCTGATGTATAAAATTCAATTTAAATAGCACATGAAGTGAAAGAAGCCTGATGAATTGTTTAAAGCACAAGTACATTTTTTATTTATTGATGTGTGCGGAGTTATTTTTTGTCGCAAAGCCTGCACTGCACTATGCTGGTTTAACCCCGTAATATTCCGTCATGATTCCCTTTTATTTCTGAAACTGTGTCCTTAAGGGGTTAATGTAACCATATTAATACAAGGAATATAAATTAATAATCAGTTTTAATGAATAATAATAGTAAAAAAAATTCCCTTGTAATCAAGCAGGTTGGCAAGCAATGGTATTATTACTTAAAAAGGCATCTCTAAGTATTTATCTTCTTTAATACATTTCCTAGCTCTGATCTCAGATAATGGTAATAGTTCCTGCGAGAACACAATGCATGTCTGTGAAATGCAACATCTATCCCACAGGACTATATGTAAGCGAAGCATTCATGTGTGATACAGCACTTACTAGAAAGAGGGCACACGATGAAGTCCTGGAAACGTTTAGTTTTTTTTAACCCTTCACTGACTGTAAATTAGTTAAGACAATGAAAGAAACATTGGCTCGTAAATGATTATCCCTTTATCTCTTCCCCCATTCGAGCTCCTGCCGTCTCATATAATCCCACATTTAAAGTTAAGGTTTGAATTACACCTTAAGTATAGTTGACATTTGCAGGGTTATTCATAATTGCCAGGAATTAAAAGTGAATTTAAAATTCATGTTCACAAATAGCCAAATGGAAAAAGTTATCGTAGTCAGCTATGCTTCCATTTCGGCTACTTTATCCTTGAATATTAAATTGCGTTGCTTAAAAGGGAACTAATCTGATGTTTTTCCTTGTAGTTGGTACGTTACAGCACAGAAGGGCTTCTGCAGCTAGGCCCTCTGGGTTCTACAGCTTTTTTACCTGATACAAAGTGTCTGACCGATGATGGCAAAGGAAGAACCCCAACCTTAAAAAAATGTGATGACATTCCAAGGCCTACACAAAAACTGTGGGATTTCACACAAGTACGTAATCCTATGGTCAACAAACTATCCAAAGTATTATTATTATAGTAGTAGTATTATATTCAGTTCATAAAAGCAATATTAAACAATGTCTTACTTTCAGAATATGCATACTTAAATCAGAATCACATATATAACATATAACATAATATCAATCTGATCTTCTTTACTATGTATGTGAAAATTTTCTATAAGTGACAATAAAAATGATTAATATTGCGCAAATAAACCAGGATTAATGCTTTTCGAAGGATTAGGTTTTGGCAGATATTCACAAGGATTCCCAAGAATTTCGAGGTTTTTTTTGTATTTTTTGGAGGTGAAGTGTTGGAGCGCTAGTCCTTAAAATGAAACAATTTTGATTGTGGCATTAGATCTCAAAGTATAACTTTGCTAATAATTTTTATGTGTTATAAAGTATTGATAAAAACAGTAATACAAAATGCCATATGACAACTCAATAAATATATATATATATATATAGCATGAGCTATCATCAGTATTAGAACTGTTCTAAGATATAATTCAACCTATAATTCTCTACCTTTCACATTTTATTTCTATTCCATTTACAGAATAGCCCCATAGTCAGCAGAGACACCGGTCGCTGTCTGGAAGTTGAGATGTCTAAAGATGCAAATTTTGGACTCCGGTTGGTAGTGCAAAGGTGCTCAGGACAGAAATGGGTGATAAGAAACTGGATAAAACATGGGCGTAATTGATGTTTATGTCAGCTTAGACTTAATATACACACACAAGGTAATGCTTCCTTGGATCAATAGGGAGAAAGAGGACATTTTGTACCATTTGTTCATGGACCTCTGGAGAAAGACATGATAATGGACCTTCCACCAAGTGGACATGGCTGTTATGGATCTTTTGTTGAATCACCAAACAAAGGGACAGACAGAGCCTAATAAAACCGATACAGGTTTAGAAGCTTGAATGATGTATTATAGGTTTGCAGATGGATATGGGTAAAAAGCTCTCTTCTGCTGGTAGAATTTGTGTTACAGACTGGTGCACAATTCCTACAATGAATTATCATGTGCCTTTTTATTGTACTTCCTATACAAGATTACAGAGTATCCCTCACATCAGCATGTGTGAATAAATGTGCAAAATAATATGTAAATAAATTGCAAATGTTATTAAGCAATAATCACCAATGGACAAGGTATGTGTTTAGAGGTAATACATATTGCCATATTTATAATTTAACAACTTCATGACAAGGATTTTGGTCAATCCTAATATAGTATTACATACATGGTTTGTTGTTAGTCGTTAACAAGTTAAGGCAACAGAAAAGTGCTTCTAGTACATACAGCTGCAAATCCTCTTACTTAGTTTCATCGTGAAGTTTGTGATATCAACAGACAAAAATATTTTTCTTAGCAAAGTTGACGACTGCTAATCTATGTTATTGATCATAATATATCAATCCTGTGCATCTACAACCAAATTGTAGAGTCCAATGCTTTCCTTCTGCAATGTCCACAGTGTAGTCTGGTACAAAGGGAGCAAGAGATGTGTCTTCAGATAAACAGATATTTCCTCCCTTTGTGTCATTACCATTCCCAGTACTTGAAACCAAAGGTTCAAGGTTTTATCATTATCCTGACACCACAAGTTGTTGGTGGAGAGTAAGACCAAGAAACATTTTAGAGGGCATGCAGTGAATTCAGCAAATCAGTATACTCCTTATTTTAAGAACACATTGCCATTTAACATAACTGCATCACACTTTAATGCAATTACATTTTTGTTATCATAAGTGGAAATTCAAAACTTGTTTTACAGTTATTTGGTTGATTTCCCATTGACACTTTACTACTAACCATGTGTATGCATCAAGTTTCATGCTTTCCCCATCTTCTATGTAAAAGGTGAAACATCGTAATAGTAATAGCAATAGCAATATGAAAATCACAAATTATCAGTCGCCCCCAAAAAGAAAAAGAAAAGGCACTTTGATAGGCTTGTGAAAAATAACTGTATTATTATTATTCCATGTTAAATATCAGTCAAAAGGGCATAGGAGAAAAATACCTGCCGTAGCATGCTTTCAGTTTTCAGATAACTAAGATACTTCCTAAAAGGAACAAATTGTGTAACTGTTCTGTTATTTTCTTCCTTTTTTCTGCCCTGTAACCATGTCAATTTTAAGCATGGAAAATTAAAGTAAAAGTATATCTCCACAGTCAATCAAGTTACCTTTTCTTTATTCTTAAATGGAGCCAGTGGAGGCTTGTAGGTTTTTTTCCCTATGGGGATTCAGTTTAAGTCCGGAGTCCACTACATCCACATGCTGTTGAGGTTCCTATGATATAGTATCTATTCAATAGCTCACAATATCTCACATCAGATAAAACGAATAAATAAAAACCCTCCTGTAGTACAGCAACTAATATCACAACACTAGGGACACAACAGCCATATGCAATGTGCTACTGACCAAAAAGTGACTAATTTAATTCTATAATAAATCCTCACCACTAACATCAATTCTCTTACTTGTAAGTAATATAAATAATGCTCACAAATGAAGTTATTGCTAATCAAATTGTGAAAGCTTTTGAGAAAACAAATCTCAAGCTATAAGGCTAAGACAGATACCTGTTCAAAATATAATAATGAGTGAACTTAAATTAGGCTGTACATACAAAAATACATTTAGACAATTTTAAGAAGATAGGAAATTCATGAAACTTTCTTTCAAGACTGAGGTAAATTGGCATTTTACAAAAGATAGAGCAGGTTTAGCGCTGATCAACCAGATAAGGCCAGGCAGTAAACCAAAAAAGGGGATCCCTCTAACCTTTTTTTAGAATTAACAGAAATAAGCAAAAACAAAAAGGTTGCGCTACAAGAACACAATAAAATACTGTTGTTAGTAATCAAATAAAATAATCCAGAATAAAAAGGAATATCCATTTAAATGCAATATAAATTTTTGGGTAGATGGTAAGGCTAAATGGTAGATTCTTCTACTGGAAAGTAGGTTCCTTAGTAAAATCCGTAAAGATATGTAAAATAGAAAGAACAGGAAATCCAATAGTGCAATAAATCAATGTAAGCATAGTGTATATAATAAAACAGCGGTATCTTATTCACATTTAATGGAGCTATGACCAGCTCAAGCTATAGTAGCATACAGTGGTATAATCCCCACTTATAAGATATGTGGATAAGTGTCTAAAAGAGAGGTAGTTTTGTTGAACCCAAAATGACAAGAATATAATAAGGCAGATAATAATGCTCTCTGTTGGCAATGAAAAATGCTAAAATAATAATTGTAGTGAATACTCACAAATACAGAGCATGTAAAAGTCGCCAGTGGTTTGATCTCCACCTAAGATTTCTTTGGAGTAAACAGGAAGCCAGGAGATAAATATGATAAAATAAATCAATCTAAAACAAAAGGTTATTAGGCACAGTACACAAGTATAGTGACCAAAAATCCTTTATTAGATAAAAAAAATCAAAGTAATAATTTCCATAACGCGTTTCAGCACATGGGGCTTTATCAAATGGAGGAAGCAATACCAACTATCTCTTCTTCAGACACTTATCCACATATCCAATAAGTGGGGAGTATTCCACTGTACTCTACTATAACTGGAGCTGGTCATAGCTCCCTAAAATCTGAGTAAGATACCGCTGTTTTATCATATACACCATGCTTATATTAATTTATTGTACTATTGGATTTCCTGTTCTTTCTGTTTTACATATGTATATGGATTTTACCAAGGAACCTACTTTCCAGTAGAAGAATCTACCATCTACCCAAGAACTTATATTGCATTTAAAGGGGTATTCCTTTTAAATTTGCATTTTGTAGTAGATATTTAGCTGTCATCACGTTATTTCACATTTTTATTTGTGCGTGTGGGGGGTGAGGGGGATTGTAATACATAAGATGCTAAAGCATAAATAAAATAAAGCAGCTAAATATTAGAAGGGTTCATGATTAGGTGCCTGGATTATATTAACACAGATACATTACATTTTGTTAACTTAACAGCAGTTCACGCACTCAGTTTTATTGGGGGAAAAAATCTATTCATTTACAATGGACACGTTGCACTTGTCTAATGCAAGCTAGCCCTTAGTGTTCACCCGAATAGATTTTTATCCATGGCAAACACTTTAACCTGGGGCACCCCACTATTTGTTACCACATCATGAAAGAAAGGTGAATTAAGTTCTTTGCTGGTAATAGCATGTTTTATTGATGCATACAATCATATCAAAGCCCATGTGTATTTATCTGTGCATTTTTTCGTTTTTAATTTTTTTGAGATTTTGTCATTATAATTATTTAAATAATTGTAGTTTGTCATACCTCACATAAAATAAGATTCCCAGTTAGTTTTCTGAACCTCAACCTTCTTGTCTTTATTATTAATGACTGTGATAATGACTGAATCAAATGCATTTCCAGTTCACATTGTGCTTTGTGATACACTATTTTAACACCCTGTTTTATTTTTTATTTTTTTTACATTTAACATATATTTAAGTCACTTGCCTTTAGGCTCCTGTCCAGTGGAGATTATTGTGTCATCGGCTAATAAAGCATATTTTTCACTTTTTTTGGTAACAAAAACTTTGTGTTCAGGTTGCTTGAGCCTTGAACGATCATGAAATCTGCTGGAACTGGTGTTTTACAATAAGTTAGTTGGAATACCATTACAATTCTTGAAAAGCTTAACACTAATAAAATGTCTCCCGTAGTTTGTGGCTGTTGTACTTTATAATGTAAAATCCAGATTTGGAAAGCTGCTAAATTGAGAGAGAGAGAGACTCAGCTTCTGGATTAAAATGTATTCCGTTATTTTTATTTAACATTTCTTACATCGGAATGTAATCTATGATAGGAAATAAGCATGGCTGGTAATTCAGTAAAAATCTTCACATGGATGTCAAAGGACAAGTTCTACTATTCAGCTATCAGAGGCAAAGGCGTACATTTTAATGGTATCTGATACATTGTGCCTCCTCTATAGCATGGCACTTTATATAGATTAGTAATCATTATGAATGGATTTTAAAGCACTGTACAGGGCTCAAATTAAGATCCTGGTGCTTGCTTACAAGACCCTATATAATGCTGCTCCAACCTACCCATCCTCCTTAATACACAAGTATATCCCGTCGAGGCTCCTGCACTCTGCCGAAGACCTCCGTCTATCCTCTGTCCATACTCCCACCTCTGATGCTTGCCTTCAAGACTTCTCCAAGGCTGCACCTCTTCTGTGGAACTCCCTTCCCTTCTCCGTAAGACTTTCACCCAGTCTCCGCTCTTTCAAAAAATCTTTGAAAACACACTTCATAATGAAAGCATATCAATTAAACTGTTAGGAGGTTTTCATTTCCCTACATGACTGTCAAAAATAACCTACTGAACCCTCCGTGAATGCTTTTCTAACAACCTACTTCATTACCCCTGCTTATATCCTTTGTGTCACTATACCCCACTCCCTCTAGAATGTAAGCTCATTGAGCAGGGCTCTCAACCCCTCTGTTCTTGTGTGTCCAACTTGTCTGTTAGTCCACCCATTGTACAGCGATACATAATTTAAAAAGCGCTATATAAATACTAAAATAATAATAATAATAAGTATGGTTCCAGGAGTACTCTTGTGCCCACCTCCCCTTCATTATTAGGTTGTCATTAATGGTAAATTTTCAGGCTGGACAAAAGTGGTAAGTGGTGTCCCTCAGGGTTCTGTTTTGGGACCGCTTCTATTTAACATATTTATAAATGATCTTGCAATAGGCATTGAAAGCCATGTTTTAGTGTTTGCAGATGACACAAAACTTTGCAAAGTAATAAAATGTGAGCAGGATATTGCTATGCTGCAGAGAGATTTAGATTGATTGGGGGACTAGGCACTAAAATGGCAGAAGAAATTTAATGTAGAGAAATGCAATGTTATGCACTTCCAGGTCAAGAATGCACATGCAACTTACACCCTAAGTGGTAGTGAATTAGGGGTAACCATACATGAGAAGGATTTGAGAATTGTTATAGACAAAAAATTAGGCAGCAATATGCAGTTGCTAAGGCCAGTAAGGTTTTGTCATGTATAAATAGGGGCAGAAATTGTCGGGATGAAAATATAATTTTGCCTCTTTATAAATCGCTGGTAAGACAACATCTTGAATATGCTGTGTAATTTTGGGCACCCATTCTAAGGAAGGATATTATAAAGAAGGCTGAACTTGATGGACGCAAGTCTCTTTTCAGCTATGTAACTATGTAAACCATTTTAGAACGGTTTGACTTCTTGCCTTGTGTCCACATGGCACTATTCACCTCCCCTTCTACAGCTCAGTGAGAATGTGCAGCTTACGTTAGCTCTCATGAGCTAAGCCCACCAGGAAGCAGAGAGCAGCACCTGGTGGTCCCCAGTTAAGAAGTCAAAGTGTTCTAAAACTGTTTGACTACTTATAATGTGGGATAAATGGATTACTCCTGCCTCCATAACCACTGCTGCAAGATTAAGTGGTTATGGTGATTGTAGTGTTCCTTTATCTGTGTTTACATGGCATGCAGGCAGCCATAGAATGACTACTATTATTCTATGTTTACTATGATCTAATATCTGCTTAATGAAAACCTAAACTATTTTACTATGAAAGAGCATTGAACATTCACTAGTGGTAAATGATAGGAATCTACAGACTAGACACAGACTAGAGTTATATATATAAGGTGATGAACAAGTAGTTCAATCTTCTTGAGTGAAGCAGCATGCATGGCATTGCACATCGGTACATGTCTATCTATGACATGGGTTGTTAAGGCTTGGTGACAGGTTGACTCTAGCAGCAGAATATATTATGCCTGCCAAGCAATACATTAGCCAATAATAATGGAAGCCTATTATTTTTAACAAAGAACCTTGATGCAGAAGGAGTCTGCAGCCCAGTTAATATCCATCAAAATAAACCACAAACAGAGGGACAACTTAATCTAGATTCCTAACCTTGAGGGGTAAACATATTTTTGCTTTATTATTTTGACGTGAGCTATATGCCAGAGCCACTAATCTGCACAACACAAGGCAAAATAAAGGGGCAGTGTTCACTGGTTTATTTGTTTCAGTGCTAATGGGTAAAGCACAATGTGCTGAAATCTCGTTTTCTAAACGGAATGCTGTACATAGAAGACTGGCTCGGTTATTTATGTAAATTAATATACCCAGAACACAGATGAGAAAGAAAAAAGCAGACAGAGAATTTTTCATGCATTTAAATTTTTAAGAAATTCACAATTAGCCAAAATAATATTTTACTCACATTTAGGACATAGGAAATTCAACCATCTGAAATCAAATATGTAGACATTTTTAATACATTTTGTCCAAGGCATCGTCCAAAACTTGTACCTGGATTATTATTTAATGGCCAGGGAAAGTCTAATTACTGTAAATGTTGTTTTGTAACTATTTCTTTTCTAGAGTGAATTGATGCACTCAATAAATGGGGTCTAATGGAATGCCTAAGAGAAAAAATATCTCCTTTAATAAAGTTAAATTGCTGCTGTCACTAAAATGTTCTATACAAAAATATTTTTTCAAACATATTCTAAGCAGATTAATGTTGTTTGGATTTAACCAAGCTAGTAATTTCTGCTAGAATTATCTCTTAAATATTAGCAGATTTTCGGGTGGGTAGAGAGGGCATTCTACAGTAGAATCACAATTTTCAAGGCTCACAGACAGTTATTAATAAGAAAACAATACCGCAGAAAGCATAGGATGAAGAACATTCATTATTTGCTATGTAGCTCCCAAGTTTCACTGTGCCGGAAAAACACTCTTTAAATTTAGTTTCTGTGTTCACACTGTGCCCAAGCAAAAGTAAAGTGCTATTTGATGGTGCAGGGACAGTTTTCAATAACAGTTTCATTTTAAAGATGGTAAAAATATGAAGATATTTATGTTGCAATATTGCCAGCAGAATGTAGTAACTATTTTAGTGAAAAGGAAGGGAGAAAACTAGAATAGTCTTTCAATGGAAGTGGTATTGATCCACTCCAAAAAGGTGTTCACTAATACAATAATAATAAGCTAAACCATGAGGTTCAAATACCTGATGGCTTATTTGTTGAATGGTAATTTATGGTGATTTCATAAAATGAATTGCATGTTTAGTACAAAATAAAAATGACAGTTTTTCTTTTCTTCACTGGGGTGTTGGTTCAGTAGGAGTCATTATATACACAGGCTTACTCACAGAATCCACAAAATAGAATTGACGGAGGCGAAAGTGGTTTACAACTCTGTTCCCTGCTGTGCCCTACAGCCCCTGGCTTATTGTGCAAGCCTGTCTTATGATGCAAGTCAGAATATGATAAACATGCTTATTTAATAAAATAGCGCAGCCCATACACAACCCACAAAAGTGAAAGTTCCTGAAAACACAGGAACTGGTAGTTCACCTTCATATTTTCCAATGTGGTGGTCACTTCACAGTTTATTGTTCAAGAGAATATTCCACGCACCTTAACCACTACAGATCTGTGTAGTGGTTATTTTGCCATGAGTGCCCTGGCATCCAACCATTGCAATTAATCAAACTATCTTACAATGGTTTAAAACAGGCACCCCTCGCCCTATGGTAAGTAGTCAACACATTGTAGAACAGTTTTAGGCAACAGATTCTGATAGATCTCCTAAGGTAAGCCTGACAGGATGGAAGCTTCATAGGATTTAGTGGTGGGGGGAACGGCGCCTGGAGGACCCAGGTAATAAGTCAAACCATTCTACAAGAAAACTGTAATGGTGATGGTGCCTGGAGAATTCTTTTAATATATTCCTTCATAAGTCTGCACATCAATCAGTTTTAACTGCCATCATAATAACTATACCTATATATTCTACAATAAAAGTACATTAAACACAGCCTCATCTGTTCCCCTAAATTGTTTAGATTCTGTACATACTGCTTGCAGCACTTTCAGTGCGATTATCTGTAGAAAAACAGTTAAATGCCTTGATGCATGCTGCTCCCAATGCGGGAAGACGATAAACAAACCCTCATGCATCATATTTCCTTTGTTCATATATCAGAGCAACAAATAACAGAACTGCGGATGGCAGTAACCAAGCTCACAATAAATATTAGTTCATTACTTTCATTACACAAGGGCTGTTTATCTAAGCAAGACTTCCATCATCGGGGTTTAATTGCTCATTACAACACTATTAAAAGTTGGCATATGGAAAACAAAGAAAAAGTGAACTTAAATTTGGGTTGAGGTGATTGTAACTCACAGTTTTAGCAAATGCAGCCTTCCGGCTTTCAATGTACTGCAAGACAATACAATACTCAGCTTGTTACAAGCTTACCAGCAAAGATGGGAATTGCTGTTCTAATGTAACATAGAAACATAGAAACATAGAAACATAGAAACATAGAATGTGACGGCAGATAAGAACCATTCGGCCCATCTAGTCTGCCCAATTTTCTAAATACTTTCATTAGTCCCTAGCCTTATCTTATAGTTAGGATAGCCTTATGCCTATCCAACGCATGCTTAAACTCCTTTACTGTGTTAACCTCTACCATTTCAGCTGGAAGGCTATTCCATGCATCCACTACCCTCTCAGTAAAGTAATACTTCCTGATATTATTTTTAAACCTTTGTCCCTCTAATTTAAGACTATGTCCTCTTGTTGTGGTAGTTTTTCTTCTTTTAAATATAGTCTCCTCCTTTACT